CCAGACAAAATACAGACTGACCAGCTGCGTGCTCCCGAGCCCAGTCAGCGTCTGCAAACCTCAGTTTCCTTATCTGAAGCGTGGGAATCAAAGTCAGAACCTGGTGACAGTTCGATATGAAATGATAATGCCTATGGTGTTAGGCTATGACTCTAGTAAGTGCTCAATTGAAAAGTGGGGTTGCTCAGTGGTCCCACCCACCTGGCCCCTGGTGGCTCCACCCTGTGGAGAGCTGGGCAAGGTCTGGACAGTCTGAGCTGTGTGACTGTGGGGCAGGACCACACACACCCACCTTCCCCAAAGCCTGACTAGTACTCCTCCTCACAAGAGATCCACCAGCCTCATCCTCCCAACTCCTGGAGGCCCTGCCCTGCTGAGCTTGGGCTCCCAGAAGAAGTTCAGACAGACTGAGCTGTGTGACCCCAGGACAGGGACCATTTTTCCCTCATATGCCTGAGCAGGGTAGAGCCCAGCCTTGGTCTGTTTGGGACTGATAAACTCGGTTGGCCTTACCCTGATGACCCCCTGAGACCCTATCCCACCGTAAAGGTGTATGAGCACCCAGCCGGTGGCAGCTAGGCTTGGTGTACCCAGGGACTTTCCTTAATGGCCTCAAACCCAGCACTGGGACTGAGTTTGAATCTGGGCCAACCTGGTGAACACCACTTGCTCCCACCCAGTGACTCACTGAGAACCCGCCTCATGCAAGTCCAGTACTGCCAGAGGTTCTTTCAGTGATTCCACCTAACAGACAGCTGGCAGGCAGAGGCAGCCAGAGGTAGATCTCGGGGTGCCTTGGGAGTTTGCTGACTCAGCCTCAGGTCTGACGCTGGGAAAAGCCAGCCTGGGTATGCAGCTTGGTCCTTTCTGCACACACCCAGGCCCAACAGAGGCAGCTACAAACTGTGAATCACTTTGTAGTTCTAAGCAGGTTGCCCAGGGCCAGCCATAGGTGGCATCTGACAGTGGACTACACCAGAGTCCCTCCAAGAGGCCCAGAACCAGCACACCAAGGGGTCAGCTCAAATAACATCAGATTGGGATCCAGTCACTTCACTAGTGGCATATCCAAAGGGAGATCTCAGCAGGTGACAGACCCTACGAGGCAAATTCTGCATTGTGTGGTCAGTACCCACAAAGCAGCTCACATGCTGGGTTCAGGGTTGAGCCTCACAGTTACTCAGCCTGAGGGTCTATCCCACACATGAATGACAGACAAGACTCAGTTACAAAAAAAAAAAAAAAGACTCAGTTACAGCAGGAGGACCTACAAAACCCACAAAAGGGAAATTCCTGGAGCATCCAGCTCAGGTGATTGAGGAGACTGTGCCACCGGACCCCCCAGGGCACCCTACCAAGGCTGGGAGTCACAGCAGATCTACCTAATACATAGAAATAAACACAAAGAGGCAGCCAAAATGGGGAAACTAAGAAATATGCCCCAAATTAAAGAACATGAGACATCTCTAGAAAAAGAGCTAAATGAAATGGAAGCAAGCAAATTGTCAGATATAGACTTCAGAAAATTGGTTATAAGGATGCTCAAGGAAATTAGTGAGAACTACAAGGCACTCGGTAAGAATTGCAACAGCATGAAAAATGACAGAGAAACTATAAAAAAAAAAGAACCACTCAGAAATAACAAATACAATATCTGAAATGAAGAATACATGGGCAGTAATACATAGTAGATTGGTTGAAGTGGAGGATTGAATCAGTGATTTGGAAGACAAGGTAGAAAAAAACACCCAATCATAGCAGCAAAAAGGAAAAAAGAATTTAAAAATGATTTTTTAAATTTGGGACCTTTGGGACAACATGAAACATAACAACATTCACATCATAGGGGTACCAGAAGGAGAAAAGAAAGAGCAAGGGATTCAGAACCTATTTCAAGATAACGACTGAAAACTTCTCTACCCTGGTAAAGTAAAAAGACATACAAGTCCAGGAAGCACAGAGAGTCCCAAACAAGCAGAACCCAAAAAGGCCCACCCCAAGACACATCATAATTAAAGTGGCAAAGTTAAAGACAAAGAATCTTAAAAGCCACAAGACAAAGACAGTTATTTGCCTACAAGGAAGCTCCCATAAGACAGTCAGCTGATTTCTCAACGGAAACATTTCAGGCCAGAAATGGTATGAAATATTCAAAGTGATGAAAAGCAAGGGCCTACAAACAAAGGCTACTTTACCCAGCAAGGTAAATCATTTAAAATTTTAAAAGAAATAAAGAGCTTCCCAGACAAGAAAAAGCCTAGCTGGTGTAGCTCAGTGGACCGAGCACAGGCCTGTGAACCAAAGAGTCACAGGTTCTATTCCCCGTCAGGGCACATGCCTGGGTTGCAAGCCAGGTTCTTGTTAGGAGGCAAGTGAGAGGCAACCACACATTGATGTTTCTCTCCTTCTCTTTCTCCTTCCCTTCCCCTCTGTCTAGAAATAAATAAATAAAATCTTTTTTAAAAAATCTAAACCTGTTTGTTACCACCAAATCAATATGACCAGAAATGTTAAAGGGCCTCGGAGGAGGAGGAGGAAGAAGAGGAGGAGGAAGAACAGGAGGAGGAGGAGAAGATCGTAGTTAAAAGAAAAAATGGCAATAAATATGTATCTATCAATAATCACTTTAAATATGAATGGCTTAAATGCTCTAATCACATTTAAAGACACAGGTTAGCTAAATAGCTAAGAATACAAGGCCCATATACACGGTGTCTATAAGAAACCCACCTCAGAACAAAAGATATACATAGACTAAAGTCTGTGGGAAAAAAATGTTTCACGCAAATGGAAAGGAAAAAAGAGCTGGGGTAGCAATACTTATAGCTGACAAAGATAGACTTTAAAACAAAGGCTATATAGTGAGAGACCAAGAAGGGAGTACATAATGATAAAAGGAGCAATCTAACAAGAGGATGTATCCCAAGTAAACATTTACACACCCAACATAGGAGCACCTAAATATGTAAAGCAAGTCTTGATGATCATAAAGAGTGAGATTGACAGTTATACAGCCATAGTAGAGGATTGTAACACCCCACTGACATTAATGGATAGATCTTCAACCAATGGATTGGTTACCTTCACATATGCTCCTCAACTGGGGATTGAACCCACAACCCGGGTGTGTGCCCTGACCAAGAATCGAACCTGCGGTCTTTTGGTCTATAGGACCATGCTCCAACCAACTGAGTCACGCCAGCCAGGGCTAGGTTCCTCTTTCATAGCCCTCCATGGGGGCCAACTTACTTCCTCCTCAGGGTCTCTGTCTGAACAGGTGGATTCAGCTCCGTCTCACCCGGGCAGCCCTGCCCGAACTCCCCAAGGCCCTGCTGGCATCAGGTGGTCCACCACCTCTAGGGTAGACCTGACTGAGAGAAGCTGATGTTTTCATTGCCCTGTTGGGTGCTCTCTGTGCTTAGTGAGCCAAGCAAAGGCAGAGGTTAAGGGCCTCACCTGTGGCCACCCACTGGCCTCCACTTCTCCCTCCCACTTGGCATCCTGTGTTTCCATGGCACAGAGTTTCTACCTCGGGGCCTGGGCTCCCTGGGTGATGACCGTGCTGGCCCAGACATGGTTGCACAGAACAGGCCTCTTCCTGCCCCCACCTGGGCCTGAGAAAGGAATGCTTCTGAGCAGCAAGACCCCTGCTAGCACCGTGGCGAAAAGGCTAGTTTTGAGGTTTGGGGTGAAGAAGGTCAAAAAAGAAGATCCCCAGGGATGTGCAATTATCCAATCAACTCAACGTGCCAGTTCAGAGGTGTCCTGTGTTTCCTCAGGGCTGCTCAGATAAGGGCAGACAGGAGGAAAGATTCGTGGAGCTCTGGTCTCAGGGTCTGTGTACACAGCACTGAGGACGATTAAGCCTGGGCCTGGCAGGAGGGGATGAGCAGATCAAGGGCCCTCAGACAAAATGGCCCATGTTGGAACTCAGGGGGAGCAGGGCATCTGTCTGCTTCGAACAGATGTGCTCTGAACAGGCTCACATAGAGTCACCAGGGCTTCAAGGAGACTTGGGGCTCTTGTTAGCCAGGATCAATAACCCCGCCTATGAGGTGGGACTGTTCTTTCTTCATTTCTATCCACTTTATTTATTCCCACCACGTATGAGAGACAAACCTCCACTCTGTCACCGAACTGGGTCTCAGAGAAGCCAAACCAATCCTCTTGGGGACTTCTGGATCTGGTTCGAGCCTGCCCCTACCCCAGACTTCTCTGAAGACCCATCTCTGGCCACTTTCCCCTGTACATCTCTGCAAACCTTCCTACGGACTGGGCATCTTCCGCCTTTGGGGCAAGGGGCTTCTTCCGTTGCGGGGAAATGAAGCGACCAGACACGGAGGGATTCTGGAGTACGAGGTTTATTCCTTTACGTGCACGGGCCCAGAGGAGTCAGTCTCCACATTCTGAGCCCTGAACAAAGGATTCTTGGGGAAATATATAGATTAGGGGTCTTCCTGTGTATGTGACAAACGTGGGGTACAGAAACAGAATGTAATAATCGTTCTATTAGTGGGGGTGCTAGTTTCAGTCCTACTGACTATCCGCTTTCCAGACAGCCCCATCACTCTCCTACTGCACCCGGGGTCCTAGGCGAGCCAAAGTCTCCTGAGGCTTCTCCTTCACTTCCTCATACCAGCTCACCATTCATTCTCCAAGCGTCCCCCCAAAATGGAAGCCACCCGGCAGGAGGGTCAGATTCCTGTGAGGTGACTGTGCCACCTCTGCCTCACTTCACCCATCAGCCTTGACCCCTCACCTTGGCCGGGAGCGCTGACTCCTTCCGTTTCTCAGGCCTGGAAAGGCAGTGTAAGGTGAGATGGAGATGGGGGAGGGCTGGAAGGAGGTAGCGGGCCTGGAAAGGGGCAGGACCAGGCCCAGAGTGGGAGGAGGAGACAGGCAGTAAGGGCGTTGGCTGAAGACCACAACGTGAGGAAGGATGGAAGGCCGGGACTGGGGTATCTCAGGCCTCTCAGTGGGCGGAGCTGGGGGCAGGAGTATCTGGGAAACAGGCCTCCCTCTGGAATTCAGAGTCTGAGCTGCTGTGTAAGTCACTGGCTCCTGGGATCTATCGGACGAGAGTGAAAACTACCAAGGGGCATCCAGGAGTGCCACACTCCAGATAGACAGATTCTGGTGAGTATGACCCCTGCTGGATGCGTGGATTCCTGGCCTCGGTTTCCAGGCTCTTTCTTACTGCCTGGACACCAAAACAGCAAGAGGGAGGCGTGGGCGGTTGTTCAGAGACTCAGGGGTCAGCAGAGCTAGCTGGAACAGAAATATACACCTACAGAAATGAGAGAATATCAAGGCCAAAGCTTGGTTGGAAGTAGCTTTGCCACTCCTAAACCAGCCCTGGCTGCCTGATCTACCCCTACCTGATCTCCCAGCTGCTTTGTCCTCCTGAGTACTCCAGAAACTCCTCATCTGGTGACTCTCAGCCATCCTTCCAGGCACAGGAGACCTCAGGAGCCTTGGCTTTTGTTGGGAAGAATGCGAGACCAGGAACGTTTTGACTCCAGGTTCCCAAGCCTCCCAGCTGTCTGGGGCCTCCCTTCTTCCCTGACCGTGCAACCCTGAGGGCCCTCCCAAGAAAGAGACTACGAAACTTATTTTTAAATGTGACCTGCAAACCAGGTGACAGGCAAACTAGGACTCACCTGAGTCTGGGCAGTTCTAAGGGGGAAATGGGCACAAATGAGTTTCTCTGGGACTGAAAAAATCTTGCTCAAGTCCCTTCTTTATGTTCCAGCAGAGCCACGTACCTGAAGTCATTCACTGGCTCGTTATTAATAGATGTTTATGCAGCAGCAGCACCCGTGGCTCTGGGGGGTTTGCACTGATAAAGGGCAAGTTCCCTTCCCTCAGGGGGCTCATGTGATGGGAACAAGTAAACCGAGGAGGGTACTGGGAGATTCAGGCCCAGATGGGACAGAGGAGGAGGCCTTCTGCAGGAGGACCCCTCGGGGTTAGCATCCAGAGAATGAGAGGGAATTGGAGGGGGGAAGGGCATCGCTGGGAAAGGGAAGGGCAGGCGGTGCCACGGTGCACGTGGGGAGACAATGGGGGCAAGCTGGCAGAGGCAACGTCACTGCGCACCCAGCACCGCTGGGGAACAGCCAGGACTTGCACTCCTCCCCAAAGCCTGGTGGTCGGGGGCACTTTACATATCGTTTGAGGGTGTGTCTTCAGGATTTAATGGGCTGTCACCTTGTTCTCTTCCCAGCCGCGCACCATGTGGTTGGCCCTGCTGCTATCCTTGTTGCCCACCGCGCGGCATCTGAGCCTGGCGGGGCCTCACCTTCAGAGGGCCCCCATTTTCCGGCTCACTCAGCAGGGCCCCTCTGGAAGCGGGGCCAGTAACACCACGGACTCGCCCTGCGAGGGGCTCTTCCCCACCGGGGCCACGACCTTGACCCTGGCCAACCGCAGCCTGGCACGCCTGCCGAGCTGCCTGCCCCGCACACTGCGCAGCCTGGACGGCAGCCACAATCTGCTGAGCGCCCTGAGCGCGTCGGAGCTCAGCCACCTGCCGCAGCTGCAGGTGCTGACGCTGCACCACAACCGCATCAGCACGCTGCTCTGGGACCCCGGCTGGCCCGCGGGCCTGCACACGCTGGACCTCAGCTACAACAAGCTGGCCGCCCTGCCACAGTGCGCCGGGCCCACTCTGAGCAGCCTTCGCACGCTCGAGCTCACCGGGAACCCCCTGCGGTCCCTGCTGCCCCGGGCCTTCGCCTGCTTCCCCGAGTTGCGTCTGCTCAACCTCTCCCGCACCGCGCTGGGCAGCGGCGCCCAGGTAGACATCGCGGACACCGCCTTCTCGCACCTAGCCACCCTCGAGGTCCTGGACCTCAGCGGCACGCTCCTCAAGCAGGGTAAGTCCTGGGCGCCACGGGTTTTTAGAGGCAGGCTGGGCATGTGCTCCCGGGCGGGCTTCTAGATTTCCTGAGCCACACACACCCTGCTGGAAACACCTCACTTGAATCCCATGTAGGAACTATCATCTCGGTTTTCCATAAGAGGAAACCGAAGCCCCGAAGGGTGAATAGCCCGAGGTCTCACAGCTCATTAAGTGTTGTCTCCAAATCCAAATCCAAGCTTTCTGGGTCCAGAAAACACAGTTTAGCCTCCCCGTAGCACTGCGACCCAGCAGAGCTGGAGAATGGTGGTAGAATGGGGAAGCAGATGCATTGATTCGGATGCACTGATGCACCAGATGCACTGATGAGCACCAAACAGGCAGTTCATGCGCCGCAAATGATGCTCTGAGGATGACTTCATGGACTTTCCTACTTGGTTGGCTAAAATCATGCCTGCAAATGTAACCCTTCAAACAGAACACAGGAGGGAGGTAAGAATACCAGTTCTTCTGTACTTGGTGTAGTCTGGCTCTGGTTCACAAGGCTGGTTTCATGATTTAAAAAAACACTTCGTGTGTCTAGAATCACCTCCCCCACCACCACAGACAAAGAAAGAAAAGAGCAAGAACTGGAAACAGTGGGGAACAAACACATTATCCATATATGAGGACAGCCACATACTTGGGTTTCTGGGCCTCATTCAGCCTTCTGCTTTTCTCCCCCTTCCCTGCCTTCCTCAAAAATTCCTTCACTCCTGGTAGCCATCAGAGTGAAGTTGGGTGTATTTTCGTGTGGGATTTAACAAGAAGGTAGGAGAGCAGCAGAGTTGGAGACAGTGTCCTGAGTTCAAGTCCTGATTCTGTCCTTTCCCAGCTCTGTGGCCTTGGGCTTATCATTCTCTCTGGCCTCAGCCACTTTGGGCTGAAAGGAAGGAAGGAAGGAAGGGCTGGCTTTTCAGCCAAAATGGCCTGTGCTTCTGAAATCCCCAAAGCTGCTGTCGTGCCCATGCTCAGCACTGACTTTCTCAACTCGCCTTTTCACTCTGGGTGTTTCAGTAATGCCCTGCCCACCTCCTAAGTTAGTGTCTTCCTGGGCAGTGGGCAGTTTCCCCTCTGTGTTTCAGTTCCGTCAGGGTGGATCAGAGACCTGCCCAAGCTCACGTCCCTTTACCTGAAGAACATGCCCAGTCTGAGGAGCCTGGAGGGGGACCTTTTCAAGATGACCCCTGACCTGAAACACCTGGATTGTCAAGATTCCCCAGCACTTACCTCTATCCAGACACACATTTTCCAAGACACTCCTCGCCTACAGCTCCTTCTGCTCCAGAAGTAAGTACTGGTATTTATGAGTCCCAGGACTCAATTTTGCCCGTTACACTATACTAAACAGGTGTAACTATTTTATAGAGCATACCAGACTCTAATTTTCCTCCAGTGGCTCCTTCAGGTCCTCTCTGGGGTTTTGTTCTTCCTCACCCTTTGGGTGGTGTCTTTGGGCATGTCCCAGGTAGTCCCTCCGGTCTGAAAACCGTGCACCTCGATTCTGTCCAGAGTAATATTAAAACTCCAAACTCTCATGCATGTAAGACTTCCTTTAAGCTCAAGGATGAGTAACCTGCATGGGAAGAAGGGGTGAAGGCATCAGGGTCTTTATTTCTCCAACCACGTGCTCCCCCGGTGAGCAGTCAGCTGTGGGTCTAAGGAGGAAAAGTGAGAGAGTAGAGCGGTCCTACTTGCAGTCAGCACCCAGGGTTGGTGCCTTCTGGCCCAGTGATGTCCAAAGGGTCACTCTACCCACCCTCCTTCCTGACTTCTGGCAGAAAGGGCAGCGTCCCTTTGAAGAAGATCCCGGGCCACCCCCTTTCCTGGGCACCCACACCTGGGCCCCGGGAAGTAGCTACTTCTGTCTTTTCTCTGCCTGCTCCAGCCCCGACCAGAGTACTTCCTTCCCTTCAGCGTTTGTCATAAAGGAAAGGAGAGAGAAGATGCAGAGCACTTAGCTCAAAGCCCGCCAGATGGTGTGTGCTCTGTAACATCACTGCAGATGAAGGTGGCTGTGATAAAAGTGATGATGGTAATGATGAAAGTGATGGTAATGGTGGTAATGGCGATTGTGAGGATGTTGGCAACATGGCGTGTTGGCAATAGTGAGAGTAACAGTGATAATAATGATGATGGTGGTGATACGTTGATGAGAGTGATACCTCTGGCTCAGACTCCTCTTTTGAGCTTTAGACTGATGCAACACTATGTGTAAGGCATTGGATGTGAGGCCAAACTGCCTGGGCTCAAACCCTGACTTCACCACTCACTAGCTGTGTGAGTTGGGGCAAGTTACTTAGCACTTCCATAGCTCAGTTTCCTCACCTGTGAAATGAGGACCAAAAAGGAAACCCAACGTCATTAGGAGCATTGCCCAAAGTAATATCATCTCATGGTTAGATGGTATACTGACTCCTAAGAGAATGGTTTTTTCATACACCACCATGGCTCTCTGGGAATCGTTTAGACCTGATCGTAAAAGCCTGACAATTGATTTTCTGTGTATTTCAGCTGCAACTTGAGTTCCTTCCCTCCTTGGACCCTACATTCCTCCCAGGTCCTATCCATCGACCTCTTTGGCAACCCCCTCACTTGCAGCTGTGAGTTGTCATGGCTCCTTGTGAATGCAAAGAAGATAGTCCTAAGCAGGTAACACGTTTACAAAGCAGGTAACTAAGGAGTGAGTGAGGGTCAGCCACCTGGAACCGAAGTTGTCCCAGCTCATCATGTCTTGCTCACGTAACCAGGCTGGGCAGGTTGGCGTTGTTGGGCAGGGTGGCCGTCTCTCATGTAGTCACATTCAGGGACCCAGCTAATGGAGGCTCTGCTTCCCTTCCCATGAGTCAGAGAGGCGGAGAGCAAGGAGAAACTAGGAAGGTTTTAATGGGCCAGACCAGGAGGTGGGGCTCATCACGACCACTAACATCCACACTTAACTGCAAGGAAGGCTGGGAAATGTAGTCTAGTTGTGTTCTCAGTAGGGAAAAGAAATGGCCTAAGTGAACAGTTAGCTTGTCTCTACCAAAATACAGTTACCATTGCCCCATTTTACAGAGGAGTGGACTGGGGCCAGAGGAGGGGTATTTGCTTAGATTCATGCAACTGCTGGGTGGAGGAGGCAGAATCCACCTTCCTCCAAAATTGTGCTTAAGCGCTGGGCTCCCCTGAGTCCTCCAAATGGAGCCTGGCCTCCTGTGCAGTCCAAGGCCAGTGGACTTAGAGAACTATAGTGGGACAGACAGGAGTCCTATGAAAACTCCTCATTGGCTCTTACCTGAAAAAGCTATTTTTGCAGTGGGACCTCATGCTCGGGTTGGCCACACGAAGAGGATGGGGGCTGGGAACACCTCTGGTCTTGAGCACCTAGAACCAGCTCCATCGGCTCAGTGTGGGAGACATACCCTGTTCTGTGAGGGTCCTTTTCTCACCACTCAGCCAAGCCTGGAAACAAGTGAGGCTCAGTCCGTCCCTTTCTCTGCTTCATGTGGATTCCAAAGACAAGCACCCAGGCCCTTTGCAGCGAAGGTCTGAACTCTGTATGAATGAAGAGGTTGAGAGTGCAGGCTCTTCACGCCACGCACTACTGTTCATTTTGGCTGCATTATTTAGCCTCTCTGGGCCTCTACCACCTCATCTGTAAAACGGGGATAACAGTGCCTACCTCATAAGGTAGTGCAGCTTAAATCCATCAATACAGGAAAGTGCTAACAATAGTCCCTAGCACATGACAAGCACTCAGAAAAATGTTAAGTGGTGTGAGGACTGTGACTAGTACTCACAGCCAGGAAGCAGACAAGTGAGAACACTTAGACAACTGGATTGCCCTTATAATGTTTACCCAGGTGTAGGCTCTGCCATTTGCTGGTCGTGGCATCTCAGGCAGGCAATTCCTCTTCTGAGCTTCTGTTTCCTCCTCTGCCTCCTGGGAGCCTCCTCCGCAGGTTGCTTTGAAGGTCAGTGAGGTGATGTGTGTCTAGTGTGTACCATGAGGTACCTGGTAGACGTGTTGACGAGCCTTAGCAAAAGGAATGCTCTGCATTGAGTGTGCAAAGGCCAGCACAAAAGCAGCTTTGATGCCAAAAATACCGTTTATCTGGTTAACTTCCCTTCCAGGGCAGCTGACACTCTGTGCGCACCAGCTGCAGGATCCTCGGGGGCCTTCTCAGCCCCTCTCCCGCTGTCCCAGCTGCCCAGTGTGTGCCACTGGGACCAAAGCACCACTCTCCTTGATCCCAGCCCACCCTCCTCCGGCCGCTGCACCCAGACACCATCCGCACAGGGTCCCTGCACCTCGCCCAGCACAGCCTCCTCCACTCACGCTGTGGGAGGCCGACAGAGTGTCACCACAGCCCCCTCCCACACTGCGGGTTCCACCTCGAGAGCTGCATGGTTGCACAGCAGTATCCGGGAGGGGGCCACGGCCTCCACTACCACCTCTACCTCAGGTCCCAGAAACTCCAGCCATCCACCTAGGGCTGCAGGCACAGCTGGGACAGAGCACGGAGGACAGGCTGCCCTGCTTGTCCTTGATCCTCGTATCTCAGCTGCCTCCACCACACAGGCCAGCAAACAGCTGGGGCTCTTCCCTGCCTCCCGGAACCCACTGAACACACCCCAGCAAGACTGGGGGAAGACGCAGGCCCCGAAGGCTCCCCGCCCAAGCTCTTCCGAGGATGAAATTCCAGTCCTGCTTTTGGACGATTCGAGTGAGAGTGAGGGTGAGAGTGAGGAAGTGCGAGCGCCTCTCCAGGACGTCGCCTGTGATTACCACCCCTGTAAGCACCTCCAGACCCCGTGCGCAGACCTGCAGCGGCGCTTGAGGTGCCGGTGCCCCGGCCTCAGCGGGGAAGACACTATCCCAGACCCTCCCAAGCTGCAGGGGGTGTCGGAGACCACCGACACATCTGCGCTTGTCCGCTGGTGCGCCCCTAACTCGGTGGTGCGCGGCTACCAGATCCGCTACTCTCCGGAGGGCTGGCGGGGCAACCAGTCGGTGGTCGGGAACATCTACGCCACTGCCCGGCAGCACCCCTTGTACGGGCTCACCCCGGGCACCACGTACCGCGTGTGCGTGCAGGCAGCCAACAGCGCTGGGCTGAGCCAGCCGCAGGCCTCGGGCTGGAGGGAGCCGTGCGCCACCTTCACCACCAAACCCAGCTTCGTGCTCATCTTCGCGGTCATGTGTGCCGCCAGCGGCCTGCTCCTCCTGTGCACCCTGCTGCTGACCCTGTGTCTCTGCAGGCGGGGCCGGAGACCACACAGGCAAAGCTACAACACGCACCTGGTGGCCTACAAGAACCCAGCCTTTGACTACCCGCTGAAACTGCAGACCTTCCATTAGCCCAGCTTCCCTGCCCCAGTCGAACTGGATAATCACGGCCCTCTGGGCTCTGACCGTCTCTAGCTCCGGAAAAGCCAAGCACTCCTGTGGCACACACGTTCCTTCCTTCTACTTCGGTGAGGCTGCTTCCAGAAACGTGGTGGCCCACGTCAAACCACTCGTGTTGGAACGGGGCATTCTTGTTTTTTAATAGCCATCGGTGCTTCTCGGTGTACAGAACTGTGTGTGGAAGGTGGAAGACATAAAACAAATTCTCTAATCCAGCCTCTTACATTACATTAGTGACACTCTCAAGCCCTTTTAGGAAGTTGGGGGCATTATACTAAGTGAAATAAGTTCTGTCTGGTCAAGCTCCGGCAAGGCACCTGCTTTGCTAGTAAAGGAATGGACCCCAGTGGGTTCTTAACCTCAGAACTGGGGGGCAAGGAAAAGCGCTCGTGGTTTCCTGGGGCCTTCTGGGTTTCTCAGTTGCTTTTCGGGATATGGCAAAGATGTGCTTCTAGCTTTATAGTTAAAACAGCAGTCTTTTTCACATCCGTTACCCATTTTTTAATTGGCTTGTTTTTTGGTATTGAACTTTTATAAATTCTTTATAAATTTTGGATCTTAATCTCTTATCAGATATATCATTGGCAAGTATGTTCTATCCAGGAGGATGGGTTTTTTTTTTTAAATTTTGTTGGTTTCTTTTCCTGTGCAAAACGTTTTAGTTTGATGTAGTCCAAATTGCTTATTTTTTTTTATTTGTCTTGCCTGAGGCAATATATCAGAAAAAAATATTGCTATGAGAAATGTCCAAGATTTTACTGCCTATGTTTTCTTCTAGGATTCTTACGGTTTTGTGAGTTTACATTTAAGTCTTTTATCCGTTTTGTGTTTACTCCTGTGTGTGGCATAAGAAGGTGGTCTAGTTTTTTTGTTGTTGTTGTTTTGCACATATCTGTCCAACTTTTCCAATACCATTTACTGAATAGACTATTTTTATCCCATTGTATGTTCCTGTGTCCTTTACCAAATATTAATCGACTGTAAAGGTATGGCTTTATTTTTGGACTTTCTATGTTCCATTGAGCTATGTGTCTGTTTTTATGCCAGTACCATGCTGTTTTGATTACTATGGCCTTGTAGTATAGTTTGAATCAGCTAGCTTGAGTCCTCCGACTTTGTTCTTTCTCAAGATTGCTTTGGGTATTAGAAGTGTTTTGTGATGTGTACCCCTAAGTTCACTGCAGTTTATTTATAATAGCCAAGATTTGGAAGCAGCCCAAGTGTCCATCAGTAGATGAGTAGATTAAAAAAATCTGTGGTACATTTACAAAATGGAATATTATTCCACCATAAAAATGAAGAAAATCTTATCTTTTGCAACAGCTTGGATGGACCTAGACAGCATTATGCTCAGTGAGATAAGTTGGTCAGAGACAGACAAATACCATATGATCTCACTTATATGTAACAGCTAATGAACACAATAATCTAACAAACAAAACAGAAACAGACTCACAGATAGAGAGCAGACTGACAGCTGTCAGAGGGGAGGTATTGGGAGGCTGGTAAAAAAGATGAATGGATTAAGCAAAACCAAACGAACTCATAGACACAGGCAACAGCACGGTGATTACCAGAGGGGAAGAGAGTTGGGGGAGGCAGAAGAGGGTGAGGGGATGATAAATGGTGGTAGGAGACCTGACTCGGGGGAACACAATACAATATACAGTTGATGTGTTACAGATTTGTGCACCGGAAACCTATACAATTTTATCAACTAATGTCACGCCAATACATTCGATTAAAAAAAAACGACAACACCAGTCTTCTGGGAACACTTGTAAAACCCAAGAAAGACTGTCCTTTCTAAAGTCAATGTTTGCCCCGGCTGGTGTGGCTCAGTAGATTCAGTGCTGGCCTGTGAACTGACAGGTTGCTGTCTGATTCCCCATCAGGGCACACGCCTGCGCTGTGGGCCATGTCCGAGGGGCACAATCACATTCATGTTTCTCTCCCTTTCTCCATCCCTTCCCCTCTGTCCGAAAATAAATAAAAATCTTAAAAATAAATAAAGTAAATGCTTATTGCATGTTACCTAAGTGGACAAAGGAACTGTGAACTTTTTTTTTTTTAAGGAAACATAATGTGCTCATTTTCGGAAAGATTTTTTAGAGAGAAGAAATGAGCAGAAGAACCTCAGGCTCTAGCTTGAAGTCAAAACATTTCTCTGCATTAAACAACACCTTCATGATTTGTGTGTGTGTGGGACATGCCTATACTTCACCTTCCTCGTTTTTATACAATCCTAGAGGAAAGTGATCTCCTAAAATTATAATAGGGGTCATATTTCTAGATTTTAATTTTCTACGGTAGCATTGATGTTGGTTTTCTGTGGCTATCGATATCAACTTCCATTCTCTAATCAATCCAACCCCTTCAGGTGTTCCATACCCCCCCCTAGTTCAGTCGCAAGGTGTCCCTGGGGTGAACATTATATCCTTTATACCTTCACTGTCTCAGGACATTCTGTGTGTGTGCAGCCAAATTTCCCTTTTCCCTATTATTTTCCTCGCTTTATTGAGATACGTGATATAAAACACTGTTTGAGGTGAATCGTGTGACATATATATATATTGGGAAATGACTACAGTAGGGTGAGCAAACACCTCCAGCACCTGACGGTTACTAAGATCTACTGTCTCCGCACCTTTCAAGGATATATCACAGTATTGTTAACTATAGTCATCATGTTGTCTTCTGGGGATCATTAGGTCCCCGGAACTTACTCATCTTGTAATTGGAAGTTTGTACACTTTGACCAGCTTCACCCATCCCACCCTCACCCTGGGAACTACCAACCTGTTTCTATGAATTTTTTTGTTTTTTTTAGATTCCACATAGAAGTGAAGTCATACAGAATTTGTCTCAAATTTATTTCATTTAGTGTAATGCCCTCAAATTCCATGTTGCTGCAAAAATAACAATTTCCTTTTTATGGCTGAATACTATACTGTTCCATTGTATAGACATACATCATCATGTCTTTATCCACTCATTCACTGATGGACAACTTAGGTCGTTCTGTCTTTTGGAAATAATCCTGCAACAAACATGGGTATTCAGGTATGAATACCCTCTTCATGGGTATGAAGAGATATCTTCAAGATAGTAATTTCCTTTTCTTCAGATAAACACCCAGACATCAAATTTCCTTCTTGTAAGGACCCTAGACTTTGGACTAAGGCCAACCAAACTCAGTATGACCTTATTCTACCTAACTGGATTTACATCTGCAAAGATCCTATTTCCAAATAAAGTCACATTCAAAGGAGCCAGGGGTTAGAACTTGAACATACCTTTGAGGGAGACACAATTAAACCCACAACAGCATTTATTTCTACTGTAAAAAAAAAAATCTAGTTTGATGCTCTTCTATCCTTTGTTTCCTGAATGTGCAGCAATAAAAAACCCTGCTGCAGAAACTGAGCACATTCAAGTTTGGGCTGAATAACTGAACTGTACTATATATTTCTAGATCTTTGGTTTTGGAAAAAAGCTCCCCCAAACTCTAAAGTGTATGACTAAGTTCATCCCATATGTAATCGAGAGAAACTGGACTGATTTAAAAGATACCTACCAGTTCCCAATTAAAAATGTTTTTAAAGTGGCACAGCAAAATCCAAAAATGTGATTAATAAGCATAAAGCCTACTATTGAGACTGAGTCTGTTGTGTGGTGGCACCAGAATGAATTTCTGCCGTGCACTGAGTCTGCACGTGAACACACACTCACGCCTAATACAACTCACAGAACTGACATTTTGTAACAGCTCTGTATCAAAAAACCATAGGAGACTTGGGGCCCCTTTTCGAAGGGTTGAGGTAGCTTGAAGGTAAGACCATAATTCTAAAGGGACTGTGAGTCCAACCCTTGAGTCACTCCAAACTGCATCAGCACTGCACTGTAAGTAAAACATAGTGAAGTGCAAAATCCTCATCTTTCCCGTAGCTACTGCATTTCAGTTTCTCTCTCCTTCGAACACCACTTTCGTGTGCTCACACTTGGCTGGTGCTGAGACACGCTCAATGTGCCTGCTGGGTGGTCCAGACTTCGACCTTCAGCCTCACTGCCTCCCCAGCTAAGACTATAAAGGAGATTCCAGAAGGAAAGAACCAGCCACATGCCACCTCTCTTTTCCCTCTCACCGCCCGCCATTCCATTCAATGGCAGTGTCCCTGCCTGCAGGCTTCAACGTGTCCCAAGTCAAGGGTGGCTGAGCAGCTAGTTTGGGAACAAGGAAGCCAGGACCTTGCAACAGAGGGGACACACTGACCCAAGGATGCCACGAGACATGAATTTCTCTTAGAACTTCCCATTTTAATTAAACACGGGTAAACAGGTTATCTAGATAATCACATTATCTAAGTAATTTCGAATTATTCTTGGGTTGGAACCCAGCACAACAGGTAGCAACTTGACCTCCACTGGTAAGAGGGAACAGCAGGACCAGCCCTTGTCCCTGTATCTCCCATTCTCCTCAACACGCTGGTGGTCAGAGTAAGGGCCTTTAAGTCAGACGGTCCCAAACCAATTATTTTTACAATGTAAGTGCAAGTTACATACCTGAACAAACTTTAGGAATCAGAAAACTTACACAACAAATGACTATAATATGCTATACAAACAACCCAAGATGAAGGTACATTTTTTCCAGCTTTTTTATTCTTTTAACATCTCAACAAAAAAATTTCCCCGAAGTTTAAAAAACTTGAAAAAATACAGTTTTGTATTATTTACAAACATATAAGTACAGGTTCCAATATCATACAAACATTACCACGGTAGAAATACAGTGGGAAGGCATGACGTAACCCGCTGCCTCCTGGATGGTGTAGGCTCATGGGTGTGTCTTCATAGCCACCTACCTCTGCTACTTGTTATCCTGACACATAGCCTGTTAGGCACCTGAGAGGTCGGAAGACTACTGAACATGAACTTCAACACCGTATATTTTGATCTCCATAACCCCTTGATAAGGTTACTCCATCCACAACTAAGCTACCTTTACTGTCATTGCCCTAAATGATCAAATATTAACCTCAGGAACTGTTAATATGTACACCCATCAAATTAAACATAAAATTGTGTAGCCAAATTGTGTAGCCTATATATTTAAATCCAGGAAATTCCCTAGTGCTTTGTGAACAATCTAAAATTTATTGGAGAGATATTTCCATGCTTTGGACTATGTTTTAAAAAACATTTAAAAAAAGACTGACAATAATTGGAATTAATTGGTTCCTTATGCTAATCAAGAAACTTAAAAAATTCTAAATGATAGTTTTATTTGTATTTAAAAATACATTGAAAATTCTGCATAGGCCCATGATCAAGCTTATTTTCAATGCCATTACTTAAATGTTGATGACATGGTTCGTTGTGACAAGTCCTTTTTCAAGCTGAACACCAAAAGAGGGCAACTTCTGTGGATTCCTCCTGGCCCTACCGCCGATGATGTATGTCGCCTCCTTGCTGACCACGATTCACGGCCTTCAACTGTCCTTAATCACCTGAACCGTTTTCCGGCCATAATGGTAGTAACTGTAGGCTGAGGCAGCGGTGGTGAAAGCCGTGCAACACCTTTAATGCAAAGAAAGAAAAAATTTAGTTGTCAGGTCAAAAAATGAGCAACTTGTGCAAATCATAAAAAATACATTTAAAAGAGTTATTTAAAAAGTAAAAAAAGGCTGTGTGGTGTAAATTTTTTTAACTATAAGAATGTAAATGCACTGCTTTTCTTTTAGACTTATTTGAATTAGTAATGCCACACAACTAAGCCAGTTCTTGAGCCCAAGAAAATAATGATCACACTCTAATTGTCGTTTCTGCCCAGACACGACTCTAGGTGTCGTGGTTCTCCTCTTCTGTTCACAACCACCTCACCCTCTCCAGGAGGAAGGAGCCCCAGAGCCACGTCAGAGCCTGGCTTGGCTTCAACTCTACAGCCATGTGCCTCTGCTACTGCTCATGCTGCTTAGAGTGTTTGACTATTTCCTAAATATGTGAGTCGGTTAAAATAAAATTCAGGTTTCTTTTCCGACTTCTCCTTAAGTGAACTGTAGATCAAGCAGACTCTCTCTTTGAAATCAGATCAGTGGCGCCCAGGGCCTGCTGGATGCTTGCAGCTAACAGGCTACTGTTACTGCGTCGCACACCTCTGTTCCCGCCAGGTCAGTGGAGGACCATCGAGACTGTTTATGTGATCCCAGAGTTGTCTGTGCCAGTTCAATATTCTACATTCACACATAAACCAATGACACCCACAAGCAGGAAAACTTGCTATTTCTGAGAACTAAGTTGGATGCTCTGGAAAGACCTGATAAAAAAGGTAAGTTGCTAAAAAATATCGTCAAAGCAAGCATGTAATATGACTGTCAAAATACCAGAAAAATGTTACAAAACCTAGAAAGTTTCTATATTCTGACTGCTTTGTAAATGTCTTAAACTCTGAAAGTCACTTTAAAATGAGCAGAACATGAAAATCAGAGAGGCTATATGGATTGTGTTTATTCAAAGGAAAAATTAAACCAAAAAAACTCCTCTTGCTGAACCTATAAAAGGCAGGGGCCCTGGCTGGATGGTTCGGTTGGTAACTTGAACACTGTCCCATATACTTAAAGGCTCTGGTTCAATCCTCAGTCAGGGCATGTACGGGAGGCAATGCACTGATGTTTCTCATATCGATGCTTCTGTCTCTCTCTCTCCCCCGCCCTCCCTCCTTCCCTCTATCCCTCTCTGAATTCTTCTCTCTCTTAAAAAACAAAATTGATAAATATATCCTCAGATGAGGATTTAAAAAAATTATTTTAAAGAAAAGGCACTGGTCCTATTCAAAAGATGGAGGATGAAGCAGAAAAAATGCACGCATATGGGTTTTAGAAAATGTTTAGTGTGTGTACAGTTTTTAAAGCTTCTTTAGCTTCACTGACTTTGGCTAACCAACCATTTTCTGACTCAGACTGCATCAAGCCAAAGGTTTTATTAGAGTTAAAAGTATGCTAAGATGCTGCGCTTCAACTACCAGTGTGACATTACTTAAATGCTGATGACTTAGACTCCGATAAAAGTCTGAATCCGACACATTTTCAGGGCTATAAATAACTAAGCACGATAAAATTCAAACTTCCTTCTCCAGGTTTCCGTCCCACTATGGCCCTTTCACAAAGCTGGACGCACTTTCCCTAGCTGGCGCTCCCATGCCCCTGACCTTGCTCACGGTCTGTCCTTCACTTAAACGGTCTCCGCTCAGTCTCTCCCTTACAAAACCACCTGGACCTCGTGGTTCAAATGCCAGCTT